TGGCAACCAGACCTCCAAGGAGTACAGAGTGGAGGGAGGGGTTGGTGACTGTACGGTCTCCACAGGCTCATTAACAGTGTCCCTGTCTGCTGAGACCTGCAGGCTCTGAGTACTCGGGGGAAGGTCGGGGGGTTCCTCTAGAGCAGTGGTTCTCAACCTTCCTGATGCCGCGACCCTTTAATACAGTTCCTCATGTTGTGGCAATATGTAATTATATATGTGTTTTCCGATGGTCTTAGGCGACCCCTGTGAAAGGGTCGTTCGATCCCCAAAGGGGTCGCGACCCACAGGTTGAGAACCGCTGCTCTAGAGGGTGTTGGCAGTGACCAGTCCTGGGTAGCAGGCATCTCTCCTCGTCCCTACGGATTAGAGGCTCCCACAAATGGCTCAGAAGGAAGTGGGGCTGGGGCTCCTCGTCTCCATCTTTCAAACAGGGAAACTGAGGCCCAGAAGGATGAGCGAGCTGGTAACCGAGCTGGGTGAGGACCCAGGTCTTTCCACTCCCCATGCAATGCTCCTGGCGCTGCACCTAACTGCCATGTGAGCATTTCAGGGTGTTTCAGGCCGGAGAGGGTGATGAGCCCCTGTGGGCCGGCAGCCAGCTAGTCCCAGGACACATGCCTGCCAGGCAGCCAGAAAGCAATTTCCCAGTGTGATTCTTGCTTTTCACAGCCCATTAGCACGTCCCCACATTCTCGGCTATGCTGGACCCACTCTCACCGCACGCCCTCTCCATCTGTCAGTGGGAAAGGTTGGACAGCCCGGCCCGGCCTCCTTCCCGCGCACATTCATGCCCGCACACCCCCTGGGGCAGGCTGCTGTGTTTGGGGGAGCAGCCCCTCCTCACCATGGCCCCCACCTCCTCTCCTAGCTTGCTTATTCCTTGGGCCTGGCAAACAAGGTCCATTTTGTTTCTGATGATGCCAGCTGTTCGCAGCACCTCGTAGGTAATGATGCCTATAAAAGGCGTTGTTTCCTGAGCATTTACTGTACTCCAGGGACTGTGCTAACCTATCGCATACCTTATTACCATGAGTCATTGAGAAAGCTGCACAGGGTGGGCACTGCTCTCAGCGAATTTCACAGGGCAGAAAGGGGCTCACCGAGGTTAAGGCGCTTACCAGTAAGCGGCTGAAGCAGGATTTGAACTCGGCTTGCTCTGGTTCTGAAGAGCCTGTCATCCACATAGAACTCCACTACCCAACACGGGATCATTCGCCACATACAGTTATTTCCGTGAGATAGAATGAAACACTCAGATCTTCAGTCCTCTAGCCCCATGGCAGGTGCCACAGTCATAGGAAGCTAGCGACTGCCCATCGGACAACGCAGACTCATTCCATCGTCACACACAGCACATTCTGCTGGGCGGCGCTGGTGTGGAATATTAAAGATGGAAAGGCCTCTGCTAGTCCGCCTCCTCCAGACCCCACCCCCGTGCTGCAGATGAAGACACTGAGGCCCATTGATGCCATTCCCCTGCCCAAGACCTCCCAGCACAACCGAGGCCTGAGAATCTGACCCCCAGTGTCTCTCTGTCTCACGCGCACCCCTCCCTGCCCACATTCTGTGACCCTCTTGATAACGTGGATACACACTTCAGACCCAAGGGTGATGCATCTGTGCTCTGTCCCACCCAGAGCCACATGGCATCACGGACATCAGGGCACTGACAGGGCTGCCGACACACACCTGTGAGCAGACACGTTTGCTCGACCCCTTTGCACCCAGGACATGTTCCCAGGCCCTCCCAGGACCCTCCCATGACACCCTGCACTCACACAGAGCCCTCACATGCAGGCCTCATCCCTTCCTCTGGGAGCCCTGGTCAGTTCCTCCACCCTGCCCTCCCCACCTGGGCCTCCTCCCCTCTCCGTCTCTGTCCTGTTTCCAAGCTCCTGCCCACCCACTTGCTGGCCACCTGCTCAGCTCGGGCCGGGGGAGGAGTGGGCTGGCTCTTCTGTTTGCCAAGGCAGCTGCGCTGTGGCCACTCGCTCAGGCTGGACCAGAATGCAGAAGCATGCCCTTCTGATGCGGTAGATGAAAGAGGAGGAGGTTAGGGCAGCAGGCTCGCTGCCCCCGCTCTCATTCTTCCTACAGATTTCCCCTGCCCCTCCTCTCCCTGGTCCCAGCCCCTGAGCCGTCCCACTCTGGACGCAGGTTCTTTGGGGCCTCTGTGCTCAGAGCCCCCTGTGACGCCCACCAATGCTGGTTTCTAGGACGGGGCGGGCATCAGGCGGGACTTCCCCAGAAGGTGGGCAAGACAGTGCCAAGCTGGCTGGGACAACATGTTAGAATAAAATACAGATTCCCTGGGCCCCACTCAGAGGTCTGAACGGGGCCTTAGAAGAATACACATTTTTAAAACACCCCCAAGGGGTTCTGAAAGCAGCCAGTTGGAGGACCACTGATTTCAGGTCTTTATCTAGAATGGGGCTTTATTTCTCTGGTGGGGAAATTCCCTCCCTCCCTCCCATAGGAACTGAACTCCCGCTCGGACCATGCAGGGCCTGGGTGCTGGTGAGCAGCACTGAACCCGGCCCTGCTTGGGAGCTTAGCGCCTCCTCCTTCGCGGCCCTGTCTCCCCCTGGAGATCTCGGAACCTTTCCCAGAAGTGGCCACTTGCACCAGTCTCTGTCCTGGGGCCTTTGAAAATGGCGGCTGAGCCGGGGACCCGAGCAGGGACCTGAAGGTCTATGAGTCCAACCCCTGCCTGGGGAGCATGGGTACCTTTGAGAGGCACGTTGGGCCCTATGTTCCTCAGGCGCCTGTTCCTAGTCCTGACACCCGTGACTGAGAATCCTCTCCCTAGCTCATTCCAGTCCGTCTCATTGTTGCTCAAATCTACCTCCTGTTCCCGCAAGTGACATCTATGGGTAGCAGCCACTGGGTACCTGGGCACGGGGGTGTGGAAAAGCTCATTCAGGCCCTGGCCCGCGGGAGCTCACTGTCAGTTGGGGAAGACAACCTGACCAGCAGCCTCACACCTGAGCTAGTGGGGGAGTGTGTGTGTGTGGGGGGGAGGGGGTCTCGGTATCTGGGAGAGCAAACCAGAGGCTCCGTCATGGGAGGCTTCCCAGGGACGGTGACCGGGTCCTGCTGTTTTACTCTGGGTGCAGGACAGGCGGGGGCTGCACACCCCGGGGAGGGCCTGTTGCTGTGCGAGACTCTCCATCTGCCCGTGAGTTCTGGCTTTCTCCAGCTTCCTCCCAGGTCCTGCGCCCTAGTCTCCAGCTCCCTCCCAGCTCTTCTCATCTTTCTCCACAGCGTCCCACCACTCCCTGCAGGCTCCCTCATGCTGCCCAGACACAAAGCTGGTGACACGATGCCCAGGGTCTGTGCAGAGAGGGTATCTGTGCCGGCCTGCTGGCTTCCTCGGTGCCTGCCAGCGTCCTTCTCTGTCCCCACCAGTCTCATCTTGGTGGCTGGGACCTGCTCGTATGCTTAGGAGGGGGATCCACATTTGGAGGATATGACGGGGTGCGCCCACGGCAGGAGCCTGGACGTGCAGGCCAGGAAGCGGCAGGCTCAGTGGTGGAGGAAAAGCCAAAAACCTGGGAACGCAAATAGCTGAGTTCTTGACGCGGCCCTGCCTGGCACTCGCTGTGTGACCTCGTGCAATCTACACTGAGCTACACGGAAGCTGAAGCTCTGAGTCCCACTCCAGACTGAAGGCATCAGAATCTGCATTTTAGCAAGACACCCGGGTCCTTTGTATGAACCTTAAAAATGGGGACGCATGCCACGCAGACTTGCTTCTTGCTGTTAGTCAGCCTGTGTTCAGGGTGGTAATGCTGGTGACCATGGTCTGTTCTAGCCCCCCAGCCGCCGCCTCTGTGATGGGAAGGGGTTGGACCAGATGACCTTTGTGGTGGAGGGTGCAACACGGCACCGAGGTGCCAGCTCTAGCCTCCAACTAGTTTTGTTTGGCCAGAGACTATGTTTACACTTAAAAAGAATAAGGTGCCAGTATTTAAACATGGAGACATTTCACATAAATACTTCAAATTCTCTTCTAACCACCAATACTTAGAAGATAAAACCCCAGGGTCCTCCTAAAACATAGAAAAAGATGCCCAGCCTTACTCTTAGTAAGAGAATTACCAATCAGATCTACACTGAGTTGCCGTTTGTCACCGGTCTCGCGAACAAAGATAAGAAAGTTTGATAGCACACCACGTGGGCAAGAGTGGAGGAGCCTCTCACCGTAAGTCGGTACAATCTCTAAGACGGAAAAATCCCTCATTATCTATCAGAATTACCAAACAACATCCACCCTTTGACCAAACAACACAGGTTCTAGAAATTTAACCACAAACACTTGCACACATGGGAAAAGTAATTATAACACACACGTGGAAGGTTAGTGGTTGCAGCGGTGTTTGTAATCGCTACAGGTTGGAGCTAACCTGATGGCCCGTCAGCAGAGATTGGCTGGGTAAACTACAGCCATATGATTAAATACAATCTCGTGAGGAGCTCTTTGTGTAATGGAAGGAGGCTCACCTAAATATCTAATGGAAAATGGAGGAAGCAGATCAGCTTGTGAGACCCAGTAGCATTTGCGTGGGGGAGAGTGTCTGGAAAGATGCTCTGGTAACACTGGCCGTCTCTGGGGCGGAGACCTCGGAGTTGGGTCCGGGGTGAGAGGGAGTCTTTTCACTGTCCACACTTTTGTATTTTTTGAGCTTTGAAGCATGTCGATGTGTTACCTATTCAAAGAAAAAAAAACACACTAAACACTTTCAGGGACCTAGATTCTGTGATTCTAACACTACGAGATTCTAATGTCTTATAATTTGGTGAGTCTAACTTACTAGGCCTCTGGAAGGCTCATCAGCCGTGGTTCTCCTGGGTCTCTGTCCCTGGAGCGGCCACAGCATTCCCTCTGAGCTCGAGCAGTCCCGAAGGAGGGCTCCCTGCCCACCACAGTGAAGCTGCATCAACACCAGCATCTCCTGGGCCTTCCCTCACCCCCTTTGGCTTCTCTGTCCTCCTAGGGGAGCCTTCTCGGTGGTGCGCAGGTGTGTGAAGGTGCTGGCTGGCCAGGAGTATGCTGCCAAGATCATCAACACCAAGAAACTCTCGGCCAGAGGTAGGTGGGAGATCCACGCCTTCCCACCTTGGGTGTGGGGGGGGTCCCCTTCCCTTCACCCCTCCCTCTACCCCGTGGCGGGCTTCTGGGCTCGCAGTCTGTCCCCAGGACCGCAGTCTGTCCCCAATGCTGCGGGCAGGGATGAGAGCTCTTCTGGTGGGTGCTATGAAAACAGACCCCTCCATTGTCCACCCTTATGGGGTCTAGGCTGGAGGCCGCAGCCTTTCCGATAGGCCAAGCTCTCTGCCTGAACATCCAGGTGAAGGCGAAGATGCCAAGTGGGACTTTCTTTCCCTTCTTTTCTGCCTCTCGCCTCCATTCTCACCTCCAGACCTCTGCACCCGCTGTTTCCTCTGCCCGGATGCCCTTACCTGGCTCCTTATAAGGCTGGCTTCAGGTCACATACTTTGAGAGACTTCCCTGACCCCCAAATCTGAGGGCATCTCCCCCATTTTATATCTCTCATTACTGTTTACTTTCCTGTGGCTTCACCCCATCCCCCCAACACACCTGGACTTAATCCATTACTGTCTTGGTTCCTTGTTTAACATCCATCTTTCCTCCTGACTCTAAGTTCTAAGAGGGTGAGGACGGGTCTCTTTCACTGTGACATGCTCAGTACCTAGGACAGCGCCCTGTACAGCCAAGGTGCTCCGCTAGTGTCCATCAAACGCCAGGTGCTGGGCGTCAACCACACCAGTCTGATCTCCGGTCCCTGATGCTCCCTGGGACAGTGGCTTCCAAACCTGTGCTCGCCATGGAATCTCCTGGAGAGTTTCAAGCACTCCTGATGACTGGGCACTCCCGGGGGAGGGGGGGGGGTCGTGATTTAATTAGCTTGAGATGTGTGACCTGGGAAAGATCCCCAGGTAATTCTAATTTGGAAGCGATCCTAGACCACCAGCAGCAGCAGCACTAGGAGATTGTTAAAATGCAAATTCTTGATTCCAGACTTAAGCAATCAGAGCCTGCATTTTAACGGCACATCCGGGCGATTCACGTGGACGGTAAAACTTGGGGAGCCTGCCTAGAAGTCTTGCTTCTTCACTGTAGCAGGTGACTAGGGCAGTCATGGTGGTGGCCACGGTCAGGGTGTTGGTGAGGGTTCCCTTCAAAGATTCCATCCCTGGTCTGAACATACCTGGGAGGGATCACTGGGTGGTGGAGGGAATTCTGGCGGGTGGCACAGTGCAGGTGTGGGCTGTGCAGCCACGGTTTGTGTGGTGGGGAGACACCGTGTGCTGTGTTAGGGCTGGCAGAGTCCAGGTGTTTGCCTGGCACAGGCGGCAGCTGTGTCTGGGCAGGGCCCGGCAGGTGTGGGGTTCACGGAGGCGGGATCAGGATGTTCCCGCAGTCCCCCGCAGGCCTTCCAGCAGGCCCCGTGTTAGACCTCGTGTTGCTGCTTTTCATCTCTCCGACTCAGTGTGGTTGGGAGCCCAGCACTTTCTCCTAGTTACCAAGCTCTCCTATAGGCAAACCAGTGTCCTGCAGGGAGAAGAGGCTGGGGGTGGGGTGGGCGGCATTCTTTGGAAGCCCAGGGCCCCCGGTGGCACATGGTCAGCATGAAAGCCCATGTGGAAAGAAGGGAGAGATCTGTCCGATGAAAGGTCTGTAGCCAGAGCCAGGGGGGAGGGGTCTGGACAGGCAGGAGGGCCAGCCAGAGCGCTAGCTCCTGTCCAGATGGTGGAACTGGCCTGGCTGTTGCTGGGTGACTAGTGGCAGCCTGGTGCCCTCTGTGTTTTGTGTCTCTGACAATCAAGGGAGCTGTCCCAACCCCTGAAAAATAGTGGAGGCAGGACCAGAGTTATGACTTGGGGTGAGAGGCTGACGTTGCCTTGAAACAAGGGAGGATCAGGAACCAAGGTCCTTCCTGGATGCTGGGGGTCTTGAGTGGGTTCAACACACACACACACACACACACACACACACACACACACACACACGTGTATGGAGGAGAATGGAGAGAAATTGCCTCTTTTTGGAAGGTGACTAAGCATTCCTGGGCAGTGCATGCAATGGGCTGTGCCAGGCAGTAACCGTCATGCCCCTTCTTTTGATTTGTTGAACCTTTGACCTCCTGGGAGGAAGGTGGCCCAGGCCTGGGGGAGCATGGAGGGTGGGAGTGGGGATGTTCTTGGGGGAACCTTTCCAAAGGAGCCTGCCAGCTGCCAATGCTTTCTCCCTAGTGGGAGGAGAGCAGGGCTCCTTTTTGCTGGTTTCTGTGTTTGCTACTCAAGGTGCCGGGGGCGGGCAATGGTTTGAGACTATTTGGCAATGCACGCTAAGCTTCTCCTTGGCAGCTCCCCGCAGGGGACTGTGCCCACCTGGGGTGTCTGTCCAACCCCCATGGAGCTATGGCTTCCCCTTCACTGGGGCAGCCTCTTCTATCCAGCGGTTCCAAAACCCAGGAGATATTTGTTGTATGTATTTTTAAACTAGTTTTTTCAATAAAATGCTCATAGGATAGATAATTCCAAGAAACCATATAGACATGAAATGAGAAGTAAAAATGTTGTCTGTCCGGCCCCCTGCCAAATCCCCTGGGAGCCTTTATAAAATTGCAGCTGCCCTGGGCGGTTCCACCCCCGGACTTGGATTCAGTAGGTGAGGCCCGGGCTCCGCGTTGACAAAACACTGTCAGCGAGTATCTGCTCGGCGAAGTCCCTGCCAGGGGCTCTGTGTGCTTTCCAGCCCCAGCTCGCCGGGCACACCCAGAAAGAGTTCATTACCATGGCTGGGCACGTGGGCCCGGCCGGTGCAGCCAGAGGTGACTGGCCTGGGTACAGCGACCTCCATAGGCCTCACTGTCCACCTTGGCACTGAGGGGCCACTTGTCAGCTCCCTGGTGACCAGCCCCCGGACATGGGGTGGGAAGCAGGGCCTGTGCTCATTCAGCTGCCCCAGAGCCGCAGGCCCACGTGAGGGGGCATCTCTCCTGTCCTCCTCATCTTCCTCCCACCCGGCCTGGCACTCAGTACTTGGAATTATTTCTCCAACCTCCATGGACTGGGAGCCCTGCTGAGGCCCATGGAGGGTGGGACACTTCCTGTCCCAGACTCGGAGGCCTATTTCTCTCCTGGTGCCCGTGCCTCTGGTCCCAATCCCACCACCCACCTGCCTCTGGAGCCCATCTCCCCCTGGAGCCCACCTCAGCAGGCACCTGCCCCTCTGCAGGCAGAGCCTGGCGCT